GCTTTCAAGCTGACATTTCACTGTATCTGTATGTATGCTGCATTCTTTCTAATGTTCTCTGACATGAGCATTATTTTGATACAAAGATTTATTATTTTCCCTCCTCCCCTAGCATTTATTCTATGCATGTTTGCATGTGGTTTAGCTGCATAGTTCAACAAGATAATTGGTGTATTGGCATGGAATTTCAGGTCTCAACCCATCAAAGAAATGACTAGACTTTGGACACCTTGCAGCTTTTCTAAGTACACATGTAGTGCAGCAGAATTGCAGTGTTGCAGCAGAATTGCAGTCTAGGCTTATGGGTCGCTGATCGCTCTTTGCTTCATAAAGAGATTGCACAAGTTCATGCCTCCTAGCAGGTATTTTGGGGAACTGCAGCAGTCAAGTTTGTTTGAGACCTGATGCTAACATAACAAGTGAAGATTTTTTCTTACCCAACAGAATAAAGACACCTGTTTGTAGGGCCTTGAAAAGGCTGAACAATATTGATGGTGAGTAGGACTGTTATGTTGCTTGTATGATCTGCTTTCTTATCTTTTTTATGATTGTTCATTCATTAGCTTTGAGAAGGTTATGTTTTTGTGTGTGTGTGTCTTTGTGTCTATGTGTGAACATGATAACTTGAGAAGCCTCAGATGGATTGTCTTGATATTTGATATATTAGTAGGTCTTAATCAGACCTCCACATTATTATATTATGGGCCTCCTAATGGCTTTTTAACGTATTGCAGCAGAACTTCCAGACCTGTTTTTGTATCTAGTGTTATGGACATGCTGTAGGTCACGATTTATTGGTGGTGGTATACATGTAGCTCTGATGCTTGTGAGGATTTCTAACACCTTATACTGGAACTGTAAGAGCGTTAAAATCTTGGGAGGATAACTCAAGAAGGGGTTGACAGATCGCCGTGATTTTTGGTATCTACAGAGCTGTGATGTCTGACATGAGGAGATGACATTTCTGCTAGTCATGATCTAATTTACATAATTATTAGTGAAATTCTATAAACTATGAAACCCTGCTGTATTCTATGATAGAATGATTCAAACATATAACTGAGAAAGAGAGGAACATGGACAGAAATACAAATATTAATGTAGATGATGAAGAATCAATGAGGAAATACTATAATTCCATCGTGTAGGGTGATATCCTGTTTGGCCCAAAACTCATAGGTCCTGGGGCAAGTCCCATATGTTAATTCACCAATTTCACACTTCCCATAATGCCTAGTAAAAGTCACGGATATGACGTATGACCTCCCCCTTCCCCTTCCTCGATGTAATATTTCCAACAAGTTCTATCAACAAACTGGTCAACTATTGTTTTGAATTATTTCTCTAGTATAAAGCACATGCCATAATTGCATTATTGTTGGAATTAGAGAAAATGACATACCTTCTATTGTTCTAATATACGTAATGCAACCGTGCAAGTAGGAGAGTCTTCGGTAGAAGGTAGAACGATAGAAGGTACGTTGTTGATAGAAGTTGTTGGAAATATTACATCGAGGAAGGGGGAGTGGGGTGGTCTTACGTCATATCCGTGACTTTTACTAGGCATTATGGGAAGTGTGAAATTGGTGACTGACATGTGGTTCTGTGTTTCTCCTGTAGATGATGAAGACAAGCGCCCGGAGAAGCTCCCCCCGCGGGTCCAGCTGGAACTGCAGCCCCACTCCAACCAGGCGTGGGCTGTCATCCAAGGACTGGCACAGAACCCTCGAGTCAGGTGGGCAAAGGATAGTAATAGTAGCCTGGGTTCCATTCTGGTTAGTTTACGTCCGCTCCCACAGTCGCTCCCACCAACCAGTCTGGGACCGGTTCCATAACGGCCGCCTGGAATCCGAATATACAGCCAGGTTTGGTGCGAGCGCGCTGATTGGCCCTCTCTTTGTGCGTTCCCCTGGCAGGGTGGCTTTCCTATCATCATCAACATGGCCGACGCAGAGCCCAATTCTAGCGATAGTGCGATCAATCGGGCAATTACGTCGGTTCTGGCTAGTTTAGATGGCATTTATGAGCTAAAATGCGAACAAGAGAAGGCACTTAAAAGCTTTTCTGAGTGGTTGGTGGGAGCGACTGTGGGAGCGGAGGTAACTAACCAGGATGGAACCCAGGCTATAGTAATAGGGCATCTGACATTATATTTTTGAAGTGTGATAGATTAGAAACGTCTGGAAAACATGTAGATTAGATGTTACTAGGATCCAAAAAATGCAGTATTAGCATAGTAACAATTGCAAAGTGCTCAATCTATATTTCTTGGTTAAGATACAATTAGGTAACATCGATTTGCAAAACAAATGCAACAAAATCAATCCCAACATCCGAATCCGGAATTAGGCATGCAGCTCAGGCAAAATGTGGAACATTTAGAAAACCAAATAGAACCTCGGGCTGTACCGGTAGTTACAATGTATCACACGGGCCGGAACACCTGTATCGAACGTTACGACCCAGGTATGACATGCATGTAAATGCTTTTATCCAGTGTATGATGTAAATAACAACTGTCCATGTTATTCTCAGGTTAAACATCCCCCTGCACAGACGAGTGGCATCCCTGCTGGAGTTCCTGCAGGTGAAGTGGACCCCGCACAGGCTGAAAATTGTGAGGAATCAGACATTCTGTATCACGGCTTTAGCCAGCTCAACATTCTTCAGCCCAGCTTCATGATCAGACCTGGGGAGAGAGTTATCGCAATCTAAGGGGGGTCCGGGGACAAATTTTGTGTTTTCAAGCCTTTAAAAATGTAATTTCCCACATTTTGAATTTGAGAGGCAAATCATGGAGTTGAGACTGAGACTGGTTGTTGGTGGTACTTTGGATGTTTCTATATTTTTACCCAAGATTTTTGTCAATGATTGAATTGAGGTTGACAGATTGTTTGTTTTAAAATTTTTTTTCCATTACATGCCACAAAGTTTACAGTTTACACATCCCAAAAGTGTCCACATTTTGGCATGTGTACCACTACTTGTACTTGTCCATGTACGTATAGTGAGGGAACATGGATAATTGTCCATTTTTCTCAGGCCGAGAAATTTTGCCACCGCGAAGGTGATGTGATTTACAGTAAGTTCTGTTGTTGATGTTCCAGCTCCAGCAGCTGAGTGTGTCGGAGGAGACCAAAGTCCACCTGTCTATCCTGCCTCCGCCTGGTGCCATCATCAACCCCATTCCTGTTACAGGTCAGCTGCTCTGTCTTTGCGTAAGGCCGTGGAAAAAAAGTTGTGTTTCCTGTTTCATTTCTAAAATAAAATCTGAGATTTTATACCTCCGGGCTTTTTATTGTATATTTTTATATGTTGTTTACAAAAACAATTGTTGGGCGCTTCAGGACTAGGGTTTTCAACAAAGAATTTATCGAGACCGGACACCCCTCTGTGCGAGGGGTCACCTTCGTGGATGAGACCGACAATATCTAATACATGTACAAGCCAAAGGTCAACGGTCGCGACCACTTTCATGCTCAAAGGAGTGTTCTGGGGCCACCAAAACACATATACATGTACAATAAAAACAAAAGAATGTGCATTATCTGCAGCCCATTAGCAAAACATACACCGAGTCTCAAAAGAATCCGTCCACCCAAACGCGAGAAACAGCTGCGAACATGAAAATCTAAATCTCTCACAAAACCCCTCCGCAGAAGGATGTCTCCTTCCCTGGAGGTAAAACTTAAGGTGAGGAGGTAGGGATTCTCTTTTTTTAAAGACTTTGGCGATCTCTAGTGATCCAACTTGTACAAAACAGTTCAACAAAGTGAAACTTGCATCAGGACACTCATAGTTTCAATGTCAACATTTCATCACTCAGGTGTTGGATCATGGAGCTAGAAAAGGTTGATGAGCATGAAAAATTTATGTCCCTTGCAGGTGTCCACAAAAAACTGCTAGGGCTGGCAGTTTTTTTTGCTAGCATCAGTCAGGAAACACAACATTCTTTTTTCCTAGGCCTAATGCTTGTTTGTATGTACCATGGTTCTGGATTATGGCAAGAGTAGCAAGTAACACACATTTTATATCTCAGTAGCAGAAACTCACAACCATTGCCACATACTCTTGGTTCTCTTTCACCAGTTTGTTCTGTACTGTATCACTACAGGGAAAGTTGTGCACAGCAAGAACTTCTGTTACATCGCAGAGCCAACCAAGAACACAAAACCCCTGGTCATCACCAACGCTGTCCTATCAGCCAAGGGAAAACCTGCAAACAAGCTGGACAACACCTCCAAAAGTTGCAGTAGTGATGCCGCAGGTCTGAAACAGGATTGCCCTTCCAGGTGTTTGAATGAGGAAGATTTTCAAAGTAGCAAAGCAGCAACAACAGACTTGTCAGAACAAGACAGTGGGCAGCAAGCAGCAGACGGTGCTGTACATGTAGTAGACAGTTGTGCGTCCCAGTGTCAGTGCAATACAGAAGAAGAAGAATCTGGGTGTAAAAGAACTGCTGAACAGGACAGCTGCCCTGGACATGAGTGTTGTCAGTTGGAGTCAGCCAGGAACCCAGACCAAGCAGATGTAGGGAGGGAAGGATTGGGGCAGACCAATGGTAGTACAGATGGTGTAAATAGTAACGATGCACACGGTGGGAGAGATATCACAAGAACTGAAGAAAGAGACACATCAGGGGCAGAAGAATGTCCCACGAACAATGACAGTAGCGTCAGCTGCAGTGAGCCTGCAGCAGATACACAGACCATGTTGGCTGGTGGGCAGCAGTCAGATGGTGCTCCACAGGGGGAGGTTGTTTTTACAGACAATATGCAACAAGACATCAGGCCAGACAGCAATAGTAAGAAATTCCCTGGGGTCTGAGTGTGTCCTGGAGCAGGCAGTTAGGGAGGGCTGGACCCTCCAGACTGTAGGCATGCTCACATTTGCAGAACTCTTTGTCATGGTGAGTAGTCCTGAAAACTGTCAACTCTTTTTAAATATAGAATACAACACGTTGTATCCTACATCACCCAAGGTTCCAGCCCAACCACAGGTCGGATCACCTGAAGGCTGGAAGGCTGGGACCAAGGGTGATGCAGATCTACATGTATAATACACCGTGTTGTCATACCCACCTGAGAAAACACATTTCAATG